TTTGCAGTAAACATAATTTGGATTGTAAATATGTAACATTCATGGGGATGATATGTGGATATCTTTCCTTTAAGTTTTTATAAATTGTACACTGTTTAATTATTAGCGTTAACAATAAACTATTTTAAATTACAAAATTGTACTTGGTTTAAAGGAATATTTTTACAGTATAATACATATTACTTATAATAAATACATTCTTGCCGTTAATTTTGACGGCACGGGTACCCAAGTATATTAATAAGACAGACAGAAAGGGAAGATGGGAGAGACGATTAAGCTCTCATGTATCAAAGATCTGCTTGAGTGGAATAGAAACATGTTCAATTTTGAATATTTTCATTTGTACCCCCTTACTTCTGTAAATAATGGCCTGCATCTATATTATTGTTATTGCGTGATTTTGTTACAGATGTTAAGCTCAAATATTTAACTATACGATAGAGGGATTTCTATTGCTATCATATAGTCGTGGAAACGTCAAGTAGCTTATTCAATCATTAACTTAAGAATTAGGATTCATCGGAAAATTCCAACTGGAATGCAGTGAACTTTCATGGACAATTCCAGTCGTGATCATTATCCTTATTATGAACTTGATAATCTTTCTCTTTTCGAAAAACTACACCCGAACACCTCACCAGCATCCTACTTAGTTGGTCGTTTGAAAGATTTTGCAGCGAAAGATAATGCCTATATAGAGTTATCCACCAGGGAAATGGTCGGTGCATGCGCAGTGCGGACATGGCTGCTACTCTGCGTGAGTATGTTCTTTAATTAAAACTCGCCGTGCACGAAGCCGATCTGAAAATGAGAACGTAATCAATTTCAGATGGAATGTTAAATAGAAAAGGCAAACGGAAGTGTCTTTGGGTAATAATAAAAAAAAGAGAGAGAGAGAGAGAGAGAGAGAGAGAGAGAAGAGAAGTGCAAGTACGGTACAGAAGGTCGAACGCGATTGACGAACGAAAGCTTGTAGGGTGTGCGGGAGAGATCGGCAGTGGAAGAGTGTTTAACCGTTTTGAGAATTCGGTGTTTGCGTGGGGGGGGAAGTGAGGTAATTGGTTTTTGTTGTTGTCGACGACAGGCGGGATCCTGTTTTGTTGTCAACTTTCTGTTCTGTTGATGCCGTTGCCCGTGTGTTATCGTAAGTCACGTGTTATCATGACGGAAGTCTTTTAAAGTAGTGTGACCAGCTGGTTTTCGTGAAAACGAGGCTCAAGTGGCGGTGTATGTGTGTGCTTGTAACAGAGAGAGAGAGAGAGAGAGAGAGAGAGAGAAAGAGAAGAGAAGAGAAGAGAAGAGAGAGAGAGAGAGAGAGAGAGAGAGAGAGAGAGAGAGAGAGAGAGATTAAACAAGAACACATGATTAAGTCACATATTGACCAAACTACATAAAGAGAAAACTGGCAGAATTATTTTCAAACAAGATTTCGTCAAATATACGTAAGTAAGTGCCTCCAAAGAAAATTGATGCCTAAGGATTAAAATGTATTTTTAAAAATCAAAAATCTTTCTCGAAGATTTTATTTTATTTTTCATTTCAAGATAATAGATTAAATTTCCAATAAGCAAAAACTTTTTTCTGTATTTCAAAAGTAAAATAAATTGACTGGAACGAGGTTGTTTTTCAATCTTTAGGAATAACTGATTTTAATCACATTTAAAATTCTCTCAGCGCAAACTAATTCACGCTATGAAAAAATCAAAAAAATATATACTTTTCTGAAACTTTATTTGAGGAAGATTAGATGATTTAAATTTCAATCAATTTGAAACAAATATTACTTACTTTTAGTTTAAAATATCACAGAAAAGCATTTTATAGCACGGACGTGGGCGTTTTATGAGGAGTTGACAGTTCTATTGACAGCCAGATATTTGGGAAATTTAACAAATTTGTTCTACGATAGGCATATGGAAAAATGCCTTGAATTTAACGTGAATGCCCTTTTTATATAATTATTTAATTACCAATAGTCTTTAAAATTTAACAGAATATTCTAAGTAATCTAATATATTATTGAATTTTAGGTAGTTTGGTTCTAATTTTTCTCTAACTATCGCTCATATTTTATGTCGTATATAGAGGTCCGTATTTACAAAACATCCATTATGCACAAACAAAAAATAATACAGTTTTTATTTTAAATACTGTGGGTCACTGAATTGTAGTAGTTTTTCCCATTCATAATTAATAAATATAGTTTTTACTCAATAACAACATCACCTTACTGGTACAATTAATACAGTAAAAAAAAAAAAAACTTTTAAAAATCAATTGTGATATCTTACGCATAAAAGCAATTAAAAGTTATTTCTAATTAAATAATGTCTTTGTTTTTTGCATTTTTAATTCTACGACTTAGAGCAGATTTTCGGTAACCGGGGATCCTGGTTTCGAAAAAAAAATGATTTCAAATCTAACAATTTTTGCTTATAGCTAATATGAACATTAAGCCTTGCAAAAATTAATTTCTCGAAATTTCATAAAATGAAATATGTGGGGAGTGACACATGTAAAAAAAAAAAAAAAAAAATTACCAAAATTTTCTAAATATGAAACATTTTTAAAATAATTTCCTTCATTTGTGACCTATTCTTAGAAGTTTAATTAAAATCCGACAATTATTTGACTTTAACAAGAATTTCCAAATCAATATATTTTTCAGCGCAAAAACATGCCAAAATTTCCTATACAGTGTAACCCAGATATAAGAGACCCGGATATAAGAGAAACCCGAATATAAGAGAGATTTTCTCTGGTCCCAAATTAGAGCCTGTGTTAATGTATATAAAATAGACCAAACCCGAATATAAGAGAAACCCGGATATAAGATAATTCTTCTCCGGTTCCGACAAGTCTCTTATATCCGTGTTACACTATACTAATTTATGGTCATCCACTGACGCAAAAAACAATTTAGAAAATTTGAAGGTTCTAAAAATGATTAAGACTATAATTTAATAATAATAAAAAAATTGGTATTTCATCTTAATAATAACATAAACATTTTAACGAGAAATCTTTGTTTTTATTAAGTTTGGGACATTTTTTCGTCATGGTAGGCTTATTTTTTACTAAATAATTGGGTATACCTAATTATACACAAAAAAAGAAACCAATAAAAAACAAACAATGATCAATGCCCATAATTAGACACAAAAAGTGTCTAAGATAGATAGATAGATATGAACAGAACGAGATAGATAGATAGATAGATAGATAGATAGACTGAGATAATTTTATATGAAGAAACTGGAATAGATAGATAGATATGTGAGATTATATGGACAGTTTGTAGTAAATATATCAGGTTGAGATATAATTATTTTCTTTTATCGCATATCGAATTTATTTTTGAAAAAATAAAATATAATTTCCAATTACCACCAAAATGGAAACATTTTTTTTCCGAAATGAAAGCAAATGATCACTCACCTGTTTTAAGAGAATTGCCTGAAATTACCCGATTCAAACGAAAGTTTCAGTATTTCTCCATTAATGAATGAACTGAATAAATTATTTTATTAGAAAACAATGTGAAATATTTTCGCCTTAGTTTCTCACTCCTTTTCGATATCTCGTGTGTACTTTTATTTTTAAAAATTGACTGTTGTCCGTGAAATTCTTTTGACAGTTAAATAAAGACAGAATCCTTCAGATGTTATTTTAGTATAATTTTGTGTTGCATCGCTAATTTTTTTTTCATACCTTTCTCAAGGTCATTGCTTCAAGTAAACGAATCATGTAGGATTTGTAGGTGAAGACAACCCTTTATCAAAGAGATTGGCGCTATACAATCAGAAACAGATTTAACAAATAATAACAAATGCAAAACTTGAAGAATTCGCTCAACAGTAAACGTTGATAGCAAATGTAAATGAAAGAGAAAATAATGACATATTGAAAAGTATATATGAGTGACAACGTAAGAGGGTCAAAAGAATTAAATCGAGAGGCTGAGGGAAACAATAAATTATGCGGAGATGGAAAAACCAGGAAAAAATAGAGTAAGATTGAATCAAATAATTAGATAGATAAATAGATAGATAGATAGATAGATAGATAGATAGATAGATATGAAAAAAAAAGAGATAGATATGAACAGAACGAGATAGATAGATAGACAGATAGATAGATAGATAGATAGATAGATAGATAGATAGATAGATAGATATGAACAGAACGATGTAGATAGATAGATAGATAGATAGATAGATAGATATGAACAGAACGAGGTAGATAGATATGAACAGAACAACATAGATAGATAGATAGATAGATAGATATGAACAGAACGAGACAGATAGATAGATATGAACAGAACGAGATAGATAGATAGATAGATAAAGAGGGAGGAGAGAACCTTTTTTTTTTTTTTTTAATCATTTCACCCGAATCAGGGCGGGAATGACACTAGTACGCAGGGGGTTACATAGAATGAAGGAGAAAATAAAGACTAGTTATAGGGGAACAGGGGAAAGGATGAAAGCGGAACATGTGTGAGAAGTTAGAAGATGGCGATTGGCGTTGCATTTAAATTTTTGAAGATTGTAAATATGAGGGAAATAAGGAAACTGAATGCGGTTCTACAGACGGAAAGACAGAGAAAATAAACGGTTGGAGTAGAACAAATTAACGATTGATAGATGCGAATAAATTGTCCATTGACAAAAGATAGATAGATAGATAGATAGATAGATAGATAGATAGATAGATAGATAGATGTGAACAAAATGACAAAAGATAGATGTGCACAAATTGACGATCGATAGATAAATGTGAACAACGAACTAACGATAGATAGAGAGATGTGAACAAATTGACCATTATATATATATATATATATATATATATAATTATTTATTCGAAAATTATAAAATAAATATGTTATAAAATCATTACAAAAATAACCATTTTGTTTCAACACTGGTGTCTTATCAAACACCAGCACTTGATCAGACACCAGAAGTGTTGAAACAAAATGGCTATTTTTGTAGTGATTTTATAATATATTTATGTGACAATTTTCGAATAAATAATTATATTTTCTCTACTCTGTATTGACCACTTTTTAAGAACAATATTTTTGGTTATTGGAATTTATTCCGTATACACCAATGCGATACTTATATATATATATATATATATATATATATATATATATATATATAGATAGATAGATAGATAGATAGATAGATAGATAGATATGACGAACATGTACAGGGCTAGTTTAGCCAGCAAATCCCTATACAACAATATAGCCATCGCCAAATGACCTCAGTACATCCAAGAATAAGCTTCTTCTAGCCGTCCACAAAATCATAATGATGTATAAATTAATTACTAACCACTGTTTCTTTCTTATTAGAATCCGCCATATTTAAACATATCTTACCTAACAGCTCTACTTACCTAAGATACATTGATGACGTCATCTTACTTTACCCCCAAGATAATAAACGTAATAGCTAAACTCAATAAAGTTGAACCAACCATCGAATTCACACACGATTTGAAACATATAACTCTATAACTTTCATCGATATCCTATTGATATTTGTTTTTATGTGCCATGTCCTTTGAGGACGTAGGCGATCATGGCTCTCCCCCTCCCTCTATCCCTTGCATCTCTCAGCAAGCTTCTTCCCTCCGCTTTTTTCCCCAGAACACATTCTGTCAGCCACCTGCTCAAGCTCGTCAGGTATGTCACCCGCTGATTTCCTTCTCTATCTTTCCCTCTGTTCGACCCGTGAGTATCAGATTCTCCAGACCCTCCTTCCTCGTTATGTGTCCCAGAAACTTCAGCTGCCTTTTCCTGATGTTAAGTATAAGCCTCCTCCTTGTTTCTAACCTCTCTAAGAGCTCATCATTGCTCACATGCTCGGTCCATGATATCCTTAGCATCCTTCTGTAGAAACACATCTCTGTCGCCTCGAGTCTCTTCATCTTTGAGGAGATCGTCCAACATTGGGTGTCGTAAAGAAGAGCAGATGTCACGTAACAGCTCGGTATTCTTTTCTTTGTTACCAAAGAAATCCTCCTGACTCGTAGTACTCTGACCAGCTTTTGAAATGCGTCCTTGGCCATCCCATTACGTCTACGGATCTCACTGTCTTACTTACATTCTTCTGTCAAGACGCTTCCCAGATATTTAACCTTCTGCGTCTGCTTGTTCTAGTATTCTGCAAATCGTATTATGGGCTCTTTCTCTGACTGATAGCCATACATTCTGTCTTCTTGTAGTTTATTCTTAGTCCTTTCTTCTCACTTTCCGTCGCTACCTTCTGCTTTATAATTTCAAATCTGGAATAATAATAGGATTTTACCTTAAAGCCCTTAGAATATGTAGACATGAATATATTAGTGAAGAAAAGGATTATATTGAGAACACATTCAAACATCTACACTACCCATATCATTTCATCTTAAACGCAAAAAAGTCTATAAAAACAAGAGAGACCAAATATTTCCAACAAAGATTATACAAAATTCATAACTCTACCCTCCAACACTTCAACAAAACACGCAAATGAATGGGTGGGACATAACTTTAGTTTCATCAATGCCAGCCTTATTTTAAGAAAATGACCATTTAAAGAGAAAATATTATGAAAACATATTTATAGAAATATTAACAACTATTAACACACATTAAAAAACAAACAAAAAAAACTATATTATATTTTCTACATATCCATTATTCATGAATTTAACTTCCGAATACATAAAAATCAATGAATATAGTGATTTTCCAAGCGAGGCTTAGATGTGGCACAATGCCGAAAGTAGGGGGCACCCAGTGAGGATCGAACTCACTAATCAGTAGTAACTGTTCTAGTGAGACGAGCTTGCTAATCATTACACTGCTTCGAATTGCCCAAAGTATAGTTTTAAGGTATGAATATAAAGTTATCTCATATAGTGATTTTTCAAGCGTAACTCAGATTTGGCACAAGGCAGAAACTATGGGGCACCCAGTGAGAAACGAACTCTCTACTCAGTCGTTATTGTTTTAGCGTGACAAGCTTGTTAAACATCACGCCACTTTGAGGTGAGCTTAAAAAAATAAATGAATTTCTGCTATAATGATGAATCATAACAAAACAACAAAAAAAAAAAACTTCAAAACATTCTGCTGTGTTTCACTAACTTTTACACAATTTCGCCTCCAGAATATTTCTCACACATATTTGAATATTATGTTACGTCATTACACGTGATACGTAACTAACCAATAAGAAATAACCAAACACAGCATACCATCAATCTGTGACTTTTTTCTTTTGATCATTTATATTTTGATCTTCCACGAAGCTTTACTAAAGCGAAACATGTTCGATTGAGATTTGCTTCCTACTTGTTCTTTATCCTATCATATATATATATATATATATATATATATATATATATATATATATATATATATATATATTATAACTTTATTTGTATTTGCGATAGAAGTAATCTGTAAAAAATGTTATAAAGTTTAATGTACGTAGTTTTAAGTATAGCTAAAATAACTAAGGTGATTTCAAGCATTACTGTAAATCAGTTGGTAAATGTTTTCCGTGAACTGCAAAATCGTATTACCCTTTGTATTGCCAATGATGGAGGACATGTGGAAACTTAAATAAAATTTCTATGAAACCATAAAATATATAGATTTACTTCTTTCTAATTCTTTTACAAATTATTGCTATCGCAAATACAAATAAAGTTATAATTTTTTTTAATGTGCACACGAACTCTCTGGACACACTGTACATATATATATATATATATATATATATATATATATATATATATATATATATATATATATATATATATGTGTGTGTGTGTGTGTGTGTGTGTGTGTGTGTGTGTGTGTGTGTGTTAAGAACTACTGTTGTAAAATCTTTAGAATATGTATTTATATTTTTTTCAAAATATAGTATGGGAATTTTAAATATCTAAATATAGCTGACGTCAAGAATATATATATATATATTGATATAAAACAATTAAAAAATCACAAATTATTGACTTATATAAACATAACATTGAGAATTGGGATAGACTTGCCGATAGATAGATATCAACAGCTAAATACATAGATAAATTGATGGATAGATAAGAACAGACTGAGATAGATAGATAGATAGATAGATAGATAGATAGATAGATAGATAGATAGATAGATAGATGTGAACAAATTGAATTATTGGTAGGCAACAAGAGCGAGATAGACATAAACACACAAACATTCGCATACATATGTATGTCTCTATATGTACGTGTATATTTGCTGAGGTATTCAAAACATGGGGAGGATCGTTTAGGGACATTGTGGCACGTAGTGCACCAGGTCATCGTATTCGGCCCTTCAAAAAAGTGTGGTTGGTTCTGCACAAAGCCTTCACCACTATAATCAAATTATATGTGCTGGTGTCTGGCTGTCGTTTCCTTGGAACTGACCCTCGATACGACGGAAGAGTCCACCATATTTGTTTCTTTGGATATTTGTTTCTTTAAAAATTTTGGTAGATGTGAAAAGAGTATCTATATATGTATATATAATAATAGATTGATATAGTTAAACAGAAGCAGTCTAATACATATAGAGATAAATAGATAGATAAATATTAAGAGAAGAGATAGATATGCAAATACATATATATATGTATGAAAGGATATATATATATATATATATATATATATGAATATATATATATATACGTATATATATATATATATATGTGTATATATATATGTATATATGTGTGTATATATATATATATATATATATATATATATATGTGTGTGTGTGTATATATGTATGTATGTATATATATATATATATGTATCTATGTAAGCAATTATATGGATATAGATCCGACAGTATGAAGAAAAATATATACGGAAAAAAAAAACAAACAAAAATCCTTATATGCAATTATGCTGTTTTAATGTTAATATGTCAACGTCGGACGTTTCATAAAATATAATTAACATTATCAATTCAACATGACAAAGACGATGTACATAACAACAAGACTTATCCAAACAGATAAAGTTTTATAAGATCAGCGCTCCGTTTAACGTATTCCTAAAATTTGAGTATTTTTTTTCATTTTTCATTCAAAATACTCAAATTATAGGAATATGTTTTCACAGCGTCGCCCACGTGACTACAACGTGACCATGTTTTAAACGGAGCGCTGATCTTATAAAACTTTATCTGTTTGGATAAGTCTTGTTCTTATGTACATCGTCTTTGTCATGTTGAATTGATAATGTTAATTATATTTTATGAATATGTCCTGAAGATGGTTTATTAGACCGAAACGTCCGACGTTGACATATTAACATTAAAACAGCATAATTGCATGTAAGGATTTTTGTTTGTATTTTCCGTATATATTTTTCTTCATATGTATCTATGTATGTATATATATATATATATATATATATATATATATATATATATATATATATTACAATAAACGTGCAACTGATCCATGTGCGACTTTTGGTTAATAAGTGCGACATTACTGTAATTATTGAACAATATAGTTCATGCCACTTTGACAGTAAAATTTACCAGTAAAATAATTTGTTCATTACCATATTTGGTATAAACGCAAACACTTTAAAAAAGAAATTTAAAATCAAACTCAGCGTTGCTTTGGCGCGTTCAAAACCAATATCTCATTTTCAATAGCATTTCGGATACAATACATATATTTTCGATGTCCTCTTATTACTAAGAGAAAAAAACAAGAACAACATCTATTATATACCTGAAGATGTCTGTAGGAACAGACGAAAGCTTGTAGTAAAATAACAACTAATACGGCAGAAATTTATATAAACAAGGATCAATTCATTCATAACGGATCTGGAGGTTTTTGTGTACTATTTGAATTGTTTGCGAGATTGATGTCTCGCCATTTAAATCATTAACCTTTGCATTAGTTTTGTGTGAATAATTCATGTATATATATATATATATATATATATATATATATATATATATATATATATATATATATATATATATATAGGTATGTGTCGGATAAAAACATACACCAACGAAAAATTTCACATACGTATAAATATATTTCTTCCACAGGTGTAATAAATTCAATCCTTAATGTTATGAGAGAGAAAGAGAGAGCTATAAGTATATATTAGTGAATGTGCATAATATCTAACATTGATAACACTACTCACTCGAGGTTTCATGTAGTTGGTGCAATCTTCAGGTGCAAATATACTATTTGCTATCGACGTTGCATATTATGCATATTCCTAATATATATATATATATATATATATATATATATATATATATATATATATATATATATAATTATTTATTTAAATATATAACATAAATATTTTATAAAATCAGTACAAAAATAGTCATTTTGTTTCAACACCTCTAAGTACATTCAACATCATCACTTGATAAGACACCAGAGGTGTTGAAATAAAATGGCTATTTTTGTAGTGATTTTATAACATATTTATGTTATAATTTTTAAATAAATAATTATATTCGTTCTACTCTTTATTGAGCACTCTTTTAAGAATAGTAATTTTTGCTTATTGGAATTTATTCCGTATATACCAATCATATACTTGTATATATATATATATATATATATATATATATATACAGAGATAGAGAGAGAGAACTATCTCGTAGGTGGATGAAGCTTAAAATACATGTGATATATAGATATGTACATATGAACACATAGATATAGATGTCGCTATAACCTGCCTTAGATAGCTATAAAAATGTCAAAACAGACAGACAGAGGGACAGATTGATAAATATAAAAAGACAGGACATAAAAGAGAACGAAAAATGAATTACCTGAAAAATTGTCATGACTTGAGAATGAGGGTAATGACAAATCTTTAAAATTGTAGAAGCGAACGTTACGTCCACCATGCGGCTTCATTGACAGAAATATATGGCGTCTCTAAGAGAAAGAGAGTGCAGAAGGGAGACAAAACAGAACAAGCAAATAGGATATATTTTAAGAATTTCATATGAAAGGAACGTCCGGGGTAAGACGATAAACTATGTCCGCATCTTGGTTAAGGCGATAAACTACGTCTAACAGCAAGGCCTCAGATCAGAAGGTTTTCACGAGCGTGGAACCACCAACTAACTGATGGTGTACCCACTTCCGCCCAGGATGGTATCCCCTGTTAAGCTCCCAGCTATGGCCAAATAGTCAACCCACAAACTGGACGCAAAACTCCATGAAATTGTAAAAATAGGTTTTAATATCAGTAATACATTTTTTGGGGAAAATTATTAACAGTAACACATTATTAGCAGCAATACATTTTTGAAGAAAATAAATATTATAAGCAATACATTTTTGGGGAAAAAATATTGTCAGCAATACATTTTGGGGGGAAAAATATTGTTAGCAAATATATGTTTGATGGATGTCAGTTATCAGTTATTTCCTGCTAATTTTCCCTCTGAAAGTTCTCCACTGCCTTAACCGGGTATTGAACTCAAACTCTTTGGGTCTGTCACTGGATCTAACCAACGCCTTTATTCACTGTGCCATGTGTCAATGACACATGGCACGTGGAACTAGAACAGTCTACCCCAGTGATCGAAATAAAGGATTCAGTTCGAAATTCCAACCACATGAAGAAGGCCGGAGCGTAAAACGGCCGAAACGTTGTGGCAAATATGGCTACAAAGTGTGGCAAATATGGCGACAAAGATGAGGACAATAGTCCGACTAATGTAAATACTGTACATAATACCTCATCTCAGAAATATAGACAGACTCTAAAAAAAATATTACTAATAATAGTTTTTCGAAAATATATTAACAGCAATAAAAATCTTGTCGGCATTAAAGAACGCATTGAGGTTGATATGACGTAAAACAAAAAAAATCAAAGCAAACCGAAAAAAAGAGAAAGCTTTAAAACGTCAGAGAGAGAGAGAGAGAGAGAGAGAGAAAGAGAGAGAGACGGGGTGGGAGGGAATTCATTCAAATGGAAGGGGGAGATATAGAAAGGTGAGTATGGAGGAAAGAAAACAATTTCAGTGTTTCGATAGGTGGCTAAAGTCGCCAGTCACATTAAATGCACGACCGGAAGAAAACTCCTTTGGACCTGACTTTATAATTTCAGTTCCATCTTGAATCATCAGAATTCGAAATCGACTTCTCCCCTGACAAAGGAGAAGTTGGCGATGGTGTGTTTCAGAATCGGGTGAAGAGGACATATTGTAGAATAAAGCAAATGACTGAGAAAGGTGTTTGTGGGTGGCGGAGAATACAACCAGGATTTGTGAGATTAACTCTGTAGTAGAGAAGATTCGTTCTTAAGAGATAGCAGTGATGAAAATTCAGGGCCTTCGACATTTTTATGGGGCTGAGGGTTCTTATATTCAACTCAGTTGCTCTCATCGAAGTGGGAAGGCGTCATTGGGAGATAGAGGTGGCCTTGTGGCTGTATAGTACAAGCGAGTAGAAAGTTGCCATTCTTGGACAAACTTTTGAAAGAATTTCTTAAAAGCATCGATCGTACTAACGTTCTAAATTATAAGAAAATATGAAAAAAAAAAACCAGCTGCAGTAATCGTACTTTTAAAAGATTCTATCATGTACCGCCAGGAAATATGTGATCATGGGTATCCACAGCTTTCTTTTTTTCTTCTATAATATACATGAATTATCAAATGGTTTCCCAGTATCTTTGTTTCCAGCTGGGTCACTGTGTCGTACCAGAAGGTTTTTCTCGACATCTTGCACATTCATAAATTTAACATTCATCCGTTCATTGAATATTTTTGCCATATTTGGAATGGAGTGCTTACTCTATATGTCGAGATTCTTGACAAAATCCAAAGACGGATATGTAATGTAATCGATCCTGACCAGGCATGTCTACTTCATGGAATGAATTATTTTTCATCATTAGGTTACATACGTGATTATCTATATTTTTTCTTCTTCTTCTTCTTCTTCTTCTTCTTCTTCTTCTTCTTATTCTTCTTCTTCTTATTATTATTATTATTATTTTCTTTGATTTCTGGCGTTTACACATTTCTTTCCGGGTCCCGCCCAGGGACCTAAGTTTAGAAATGGCATCATGCCACTTACCACTGAAAAAAGATTACATAGATAACGCCCTTCGTAAAGTGTGGGCTGTACTTGTCAGAACAATTTTTTGTATCTCTTTGACGCATGGACTTCCAGGAATCCCTTCAATTAGTCTACTGGAATAATCTTTTCCAACCAATCCTATGGCTCCAACTAGAACAGGGATTGTTGATGTTCTACTTCCGGTAGAGTGAACTTATTGGTCTTCATTGCGTGTTACATTTAATGTAGTCTGTTATAAAACTTCACTATGACTTGTAGGTGTCAAATTCCTCATGTCCTCTTTCCTAATTATCTGTCCTATAAACTTTAGTTTTCTCTCTATGATTGTAAGTATGTGTAAGTTTTGACTCGTTTCGGTATTTTTACGATTCGGCCTTCTTCAGATAGTTTCGGACCCTTTATTTCGTCCACCAGGATAAATTGTTGTAGTTTTACGTATCATGATTTTTCCAGATGTCTCGGTACCGCTTCCCTCCCTTTAACTCAACGTTTTTGTTCACCTCAACTGTAGTCAGGGACTGAACTCAACACTCTTTGGGTCATGTCACTGGATTCGATCAACGCTTTTATCCACTGCACCATGTGTGTCCTTGTGTCTACCGCAGCGGACGAAATAGGGCCGGAGTGAAAACGTCGTGAATATGGCAACAAAGATGAGGAAAACAGCCCGAACAATGCAAATGCCCCATCTCAGAAATATAATCAGATAACTTTTCCTAAAAACTTCCCTATTACTCACATATTCAGTCTAGGGAATTCTCTGAATCCTTCTGTAGATCACTATTTCTTTTGCCTTCAATATGTGAAGACATTTTAAAATCTGAAATGTCATTGCACATTGAAGAAGATACAACTGAACCGATACTTCATGCTATCAAAGTGAAATATATATATATATATATATATATATATATATATATATATATATATATATATATATATATATATAATAAAAAGGCTTAAACACTAATATTCCATGGTCACACAGGGGCCGACACTATTTTTGGGACACTTTGAAAAGTGTGCTTAAAGGTGTTTTTTGCTGCCGAGAGCTTTTGTGTTGATGAGTAGGTAGTTCAGCGGTAACTGTCCATTAATGGTATGAACATTGATTCATGGGTTTGTCTTTGGTTTCATGTTTTCTTTATTTTTACTTCAACTTAGGCGACACTATTTTTCGGACATGACACAAATTCCGGGTTTTTTAATGATTTAGTCGTTGAACGTCTACAATATGCAAATTTTCTGCAGGTAAATTGTATCCTGACCCTTACATTTGAGTATCTTCACCATTCACTGCGAAAACGTATTAAAATCCTGAAGAAGAATGCATTCAAAAGAAGTCACCAGTTTGCTCCAAAAGAAGAGAGAAGACGGGCTCAGCATCCGAAAGATCGCCGCTGAGATGAAGCTATCGAAGTCAACAGTTGAATACATGCTAAGTACAGACTATGAGCGGAAGAAGAAGAGTAAACGGAAAAAACAATTTCCAAGAGAACAGAAAGAAGAATGAAGAGGAGTGTTACGAAGTTGTTATCATCTGGAGAAAAGGTGACAGCGAAGAAAGTAAAGGAGAAGTGTGAACTTGACGTCAGTGTTCGAACTGTACAAAGCTACACGAAATTGGACTTAAGTATGCTAAAATCAAGTAAAGAATTACACTAACGAGAAAACACAAGGAGGCAAGAATGGGAAGCTCCAAAAGATGGATAACAAACCATGTCGACTTCAAGAAAGTGATATTTATTGATGAAAAACGTTTTAAGTTCGATGGACCTGACGTGTGGTGTACATGGTCGAGAAAAGGTGAACCTGTTATTCTCAACAAGAGACAGATGGGAGGAGGAGGAGTCATGGTTTGAGCTTTGGTATTTCCGAATGGTTAAAAGGAGGTCAAAATAGCTTGAGCTACAGAGAACTTTTGGAAAAGAGAGCCCTACCACTCATAGGAAAAACAATGAGAAGTAATTTTATTTTGCAGCAAGATAATTGCAGCATCCAGTGTAAAATTGAATGTGTGAAGCAATTATAACTACTCTGGAATGGCCTGCAAGAAGTCCCAACTTAAATTTAATTGAAAACATATGGGAAATGCTTACAGAGCTTGTTTACGACGGGCCAGAAATAACCAGAGAGGCTGAACTGTTGCAGCGTATACAAGATGCTAAAATAGACTGCTAGAAGAGACGTTATTATCAATATGTACGAACATTATCAAGATAGACTGATAGAAGTCATTGAAAAAAAGGGTGCTGCCATAAACTATTAGCATTGTTTCTGTAATGCCCGAAAAATACTGTCGCCTGTGTAATGTGAAAATTTGTAAAAAAAATAAAAATACTTCTAATTTGAATTCTGCTTTTCCATTTGTAGTATTGAAACAGTTTTTAAATGTTATTGCTATTACACTAAAACAGTACAGACTGCCTGTGCTACCTAAAACTTGAAAAAATAAAATGTCTGAAAAATTGTGTCTGCCACCTGTAATTTATTTCATTGGAATCGTAAATACGATCCAATTCATCAGACCTAGAAATTCAAAAAGAAAATTTTTCTTTTTGAATTTGTAGGTCTGATGAATTGGATCGTATTTACGATTCCAGTGGAATAAATTATGACCATGGAATATTAGGGTTTAAGCCTTTTTATTATATCCTTATTCTGTCCTGGACATTGAGTTCTACCTGGATTCTATCCTCTTGGAATGTTTTTTTTATACAGATATATTTGTATGTGTATGTATATATGTATATATATATATATATATTTATTTATATTTTTTGCATAAGTATGCGTATATTTACCACTAATATTATATATATATATATATATATATATATATATATATATATATATATATACAAGACCGTTTTTAGGTTAGTTCTTTGCATGATTTTAAAAAAAAACACGTATTTTTTTTTGGTTTTCACAAAGAAAAATTAAATGAAAATCTTTATTCGGTACATGCCTCCAACTCATACAATTTTGGGAATTATATATTATTTTTCAATAATATTGGACAATAATGAATCCATTATATGTACTTACGTGCTAAAACCCTTGGTATGAATGCTCTTCTTCTCCCCTAAGATATGGGTAAATGGCAACGCAGACCGGGTTCTCTAGTCTTAGATAGCAGCTGGTCTACCGCAGAAAGAAATGACAACCTACTGCAGCAAAAAAAAAAAAAGATCTGCCTCGCCAGTCATGTATCAAAAGATATATGATTGCCTAAGCGTCTACCATGCATAGCATATAACTGACTGAATGAGGAACGAAAGAACGCTTATATGATAAATATTAATTTCTGTTGGTACAAGATTTTTCGTGTTCAAATTCCAACACGCTCTATTTTCCTTACTCATATCCAGCCTGTGGCGTGTCTCTGAATTTCATCATCTCAACAAAAAAGGATTAGACTAAAGAATTTGTCAATTGATATTTTTCACAAAAAGAAATAAGAACGCCATTACGATGCGCATCATCGATGGAACAAGATTACGGGCATTAACAGCGTCAGTCTGCGGATATATTGATTCGACTTCAAATAAATTTGAGTTCCAATCTAAGTAATACCTGTTTTAGGGGACAAATATCAATGTTATTGTTCTTGACCGGACATCTCGGCTTTAGCACACACACACATATATATATATATATGTGTGTGTGTGTGTATGTGGAACAAATATTCATTGTTCTTGACCTGACATCTCTGCTTGTATATATATATATATATATATATATATATATATACTAAAAGATGTCAGGTCAAGAACAAAGATATTCGTTCCAAAAAGAGCAATACCGATAGAACAACATTTATTAGAATTTTTTCATATAGACAAAAAAGGATTTACTCACAACAAAGATGGAATTTTGTTTCGGTGCATTTAGTTGCACGTCGATTGGTGAGAACCAAATTGGTTATATATATATATATATATATATATATATATATATATATATATATATATATATATATATATGTGTGTGTGTGTGTGTGTGTGTGTGTGTGTTTTTTTCTGCTTATACTTTGTTTTAATAGATATAAATATTTAAGTAAATTAACTGCACTGACCGGCTTGAATGTCCAAGAAGTATTACTGTTCATTATAGACAGAGCATTTACTTAAATACTTGTATTCTATAAAAATAACAGATGAACAGAAAATATAGTAAAATTATTGTCTGACTTATTCCATTTCATAATACATGGACACACCCACAGACATATAATTATGTAAAGCAATTCAGAACCTGTTTATAAAAATGTAATGTTATATTCATTGTAGAATAAACTGAATATTTTCTTTGAGAATATACGTCATTCCCAGAAAAGCGCCATTATTTTCTGGACAAACTTTTCGTAAGACCACAAAGAATGTCGATTTTGTATTTATTATGTAGACGTAACTACCATGGGCCAAGCGACCGGATTATCACTGCAGGGAAGAACAGCTAATAATTTTTATTCTTTTCGTTCGTGTGGACAGTTAAAATGACAATGCATCGTCAGAAGAAAGACATAAGTGTAAATATTTAATGCGTTCTTATCTGCAAGTAATTCGTGTCCATAGTTGGGGAAAAGACGAATTGCTTTTATTTCAGGAAATCGTTGGGCTCTGGTCCAGGGCTGAAGATAGAAATTTTGGCCTTCTGCGCAAACTGATATTACTTTGAATTTGTTATTCGTTGCTTATTTTTTTTAAAAATATAACATTATTTTCATTATAAATATCCATCCACTGGCGTCCGTTACGAACGGACTTTTGTTTTTACAGTTTCAGCTAACCTTAATAAATCTCAGGTAATGAAATTTGGTTAAAAAAATATTTTTTGATCAATTCGCCCCATGGAAGGCGATAATGCCACTAAGACGCAGAGACCTACTGGTTGTGAAAAAGAATATGAAAATATTAGAAGCAACCAGAAACACGATCCTAAGGAGGAAAAAAGAAGGGACAAAACACTACTCCTGTTCTAAAGACCGGATAATTATGTGAAGATAACGTTATTTTATTTTTTGAAGATTTTTTTTATTAAAGAGAATGACATTGAGATGGAAGACGACTAAAAAAGGGCGCTAATCAGCTATTTTAGAAAACAAAATCCATTGCAGTTAATATAATTTCTGTTTGAAAGACACCAGAGTATTTTGCTTACTGGAAATAATAAATTAAATCATTTAGCTTTCAATTAAAAGCAACATAAAAGCTTCAAGAAAACCTTTTGATTTATAAAAGTTTATTTTGAACCAAGGTTTTGAAAATTAACTGCGGTACCTACATTAGTAGGAACCGGAAATACAGTCCTAAACAGGAAACAAGGAATACACATCTTTCCCTGGTCGAAAGTTTCTGCCTTGAGTCGGATGAGATTGAATACACCGATGAAATTAGTTCACTTTTAAACATTAGCCAAATTAGCTCATTTGTAAGAATGTGTTAGTATATGTCTCCTATAAAGTCCCCGCATTTTGTACCTGCATCAGACTGTATGATATATGAATGACATAGTTGAATAAGAAATCTTTGTTTTACACATAATACAAGTGGCAGTATAGAGCCAGTTTTATGGATATAAGAGGAGGAGGTGGTAAGAAATGCAGATGACGTAACATGGTCTCCCTTTGAATAGTCGATAATTATTTTCCTGGCAACAGCACCTTGAGCTTTATTGCCTGGTGTCCCAGCTACTTGAACTGAAGAGTACTACTAGATTGGTATTTAGGTCTCATCGTTTCATTCTTGAACTAGCAAGATCTATCCGCCACTTCCACTCTAACAGTTTCATTTCTCGCCCTTCCCACCCATAGATCCCTCCACCTGATTTATTGCTGATAACTAAGATCTTCAAAACATGAAATGCAACGTCAATCGCCATATTGTATCCTTGAATCCTTTTCCTTTTTTGTCCTTTCCCACAATCTTCCCCATTCTCAGTTTTCTCATTCTCTTTTAATTTAATTCCTTGCAAGTCCGCGAATTCTAATGGCATTGTCTCCTTGCTTGGAGTGAAAGAATTAAAAATATGCAGGATAGATAAAGTTTGACCTTAGACTTGAAGAGTTTAAGATTAGTCTGCTCGATAAAGTAAAGTAGTGGTTCTTGGTAAGAAGCTGCCCGAATAGAATTTCTTCTAACTAATGGAATACGAAAAAATGCGTCTTGTACGAAAGAAAATGCGTTATATATTTAACAGAAAACCATCATAATATTATAGGATTTATTGGCATAATGAATTATTTTGTCACATGAGCTCCATTCAAACGGATAACTTCAAAAATCCTATTAGTCACGGAATCTGTCATTTTTTTTATAGTAGCAGGTTGGACTGCCTCTGCTGAAGGTGTGACGATCGCCCATAAGATATCTTTCGACGTAAATAGCTGTCAATTATCATAAACAACTGGTTTTGAGATGCACCAACGATTTTGGTCTATCATTTAGTCGAACCATATTAGCGTGTTTCAGGGTGGCTCAGTGTGGTTCAGGGTAGTTCAGGGTGGTTCTTTCATGATTTTAGAATCAGACAATTTCTTGTAGACGCCTCACAAGTCTCACCAGTTCAGTCTCTGCCGTGATTTGCCTATTAGATTGGAGATATTTTTTTATTAACTTGAGTCACAAGTAATTTCTATTTTCCAAAGTCAGTTGTAATAACGAATGTACTATCTTAACTACTAATCATAAGTTGTAATTAAGAATAATTTTGAACTACACCAACATGCATTCGCTTTCACACGTCAGTCGGAGCGTACACAGTGGATTAAAGAATAAATTTATTAACGGCAACAATAGAAGGATTGGCAGTGCATTTACGTCATATAATGTTGTAGGACTTCAAACAAGGGAA